GGTTTATTTACAAATATTATTTGCGGTCTGTATATTACTTGAAACCATAAGAAGTATACGTGATTATTAAAAAAATTAAAAATAGATAAAATATACATTTTATGGAGGATATTTTTTGGGGATTTCAAAATAATGTACTAAAACATTAAAAGTAATAAGTTCAAATCTGTAGCAAATATAAATATTGTAATCATTTCTTATAAATATGATTTCCTAATGTAATTTTCCGAGATATTAAAGATAATAATGCAAAAAAACAAAATTTCTTTAAAGTAATTGGCTTTATGTTTCTTAAACTACCTACATTTGTCAAAGTATTTATGAATTTTCGAAAATATTCGTCCACTAGTTTTATTGTTGGAATGAAATATAGCAAGACTTGCATTGCCTACTAAGAAAGTTAGTAGCCAGTAGTCATCGGGTTAAAGCAGTTACTTTGACTGATAAGGCCTAATTTATATAAGGGCTAACACATAAAGCCTAGTTAGCAAAACAAAACTTTTTTACATTTAAGTGCAAGTTAGTTGATTAAAACATACAACATCTTGTCCCACAATAAACATTTTTTCTTATCATAATGCAACATCATGATTGAAATGAAGTATAAATAACAATGCACATTTTTTTGAAAGCTTAAAAAAAGAAGAAAAAGACAGGATTAATTTTAGCAGAAGTTGTTTTAATCTAGCAAAATATCACTAATATAGATTAATTTTCTATAATTATTTTAATTCAATGGTGCCTATTGCACTCCTTTGGGTGTGATAGAGTTAAATCATTTTTTGTACAGCTATTAATTTAGCAGTTGAAATGTACAACAACATTTCTACTGACTAATAAGAGATCAACTACAGTTTGTTGGGATTCCAGAGCATTCATGATTGCATGATATGTGTGGAAGTAGCCCGATTCATTTCGTAATCCAGCATTATCAGAACCCTTCAAAATACCTGATGTATAATCTCTTATTAGAGGTTAAATATTTTTATTTTCAAATTCTCATATACTTATTAGATGTTCCAACATTTTCTCTATTATATCACAAGTAAAACTAATAAAAATACTAAGTAATACTTACATTAATGTTGTGGAAATCAGATAACATGATTGTATAAGCTACTAACCATGACAACCATAGAAGTCAGTGTGCGTGTAATGACTTTTACAATTACATACAAAATTTTATTAAATAACTTTATAGTCAACTTATAAACGTGGCATCAGTTTAGTTTATAATTCAAATTTTAACCTAAGTTTAATTTGTTCTTAATTTAGAAGGAAATATTTCAATAAATTATCAATCTTTCCTTTTGTTTGTCACTTGATGCATCTTTACTCTGAATTCTTTTAGATTTTCTTTCGTTCTACATACGAGTTTCAGCATGCCCACCAATTAAAAACACCAACTATAAATACTGAGAACAGAATTTAAAATAAGAATCTCCCACTTTCTTTATTCTCCAAGACATCAATAGATCTATAATATCCACCACAGAAGCTCCTCCAAACTCTTCATGCTTTTGAAATTACTTATTTACTCACACTTATTTATCAATGGTAGATGCTTATAACCAACAGAAGGGAGATTTTATGAACTATGCGATAATGACATCATTAGCTTATTTCGATAAAAGGCACCATTTCTCAAGCAAATTGTATTGTGATGACTAAAGTTGGTGTGCTAGATATAATCTCTTGAAATATAAACTACTGCATGTAAAAATGGAAATCTGTATGCTACATGAAGCAGTCTTTGGATATCTTTGTGAGGAAAAAATGTAAGTTTAATAAAGACTGGCTCCTGAGAACTAAAAATCTGAATCCAAAAGTATGTGCTATATGCCTTATTTCTTATTAAAGTTTTTTTTATTTATTGATGTGTATTTTTTAATAAAAGTAACTAAAATGTAAAAATTTAAAACTCATTAGGTTAAATAAAGAAAACTTAAAAGAAGAAAAATTAAATTTTTTGCCTTGAGTAACACACGAGGAGCAAATTTAGTTAGACAATGCTTAGTGTAACCCAAAATTTTGTTTACCCTAAACTGTCCTCACTCCCGTTGGGTGACTAATTACTATTTACAGTAGTTAGAACAATTCAAGGAGCAATAAAATATTAAAATTAAATGAAAACAGACATGAAAAGTTACAAGCCTAAGGGTGTTCAAGATAAATAAATGTAATTTTCTTTAAAATATGCAAACACTCTAAAAAGAAAAAGGTAATTTAGATTTATTTCATATTTTTTCATGATGATTACAGGGTTAGTCAAATGGACAGAGACTGAATAGTTAAGAAAGAGTAAATAGATAAAATATAGTTTTATTGAAAACAAAAAACTTTTGACATTCATATAGGAAAAAAAAGTATTTTTATTCATAACATGAGATTCACCTTGCACTCACACTAGTCAGTCTGACTAAAATAAATTCAAGGATAAATCTTCAGTAAAAATATCACTTTTTTTTGTGTACAACATACCTGCATTGTTTACTAAAAGTTCAGCAAATTTTGGGAAAATACACTCAGTGGATATTGAATTATTGTAAACATTAATTCTCCAATACAAGTTGGTCTAATGTTACAGAAGTGCCAATGCCATTGATATTCAAAATTTGACCAACAATTGAAGCTTTGTATCTTTCATAAATACTTACAACAAATTTTCTTCAGTAAAATAAGTCTTGCTTAGAAATATGTACTGTGGTTATGATTTCTTCATTAAACTTTTACAGCGTAAGTGATTTTTCTAATTATGTAGTAGGAACGTAAAGCCTCATTGTGAACTCTGTCTTAGATAATTTTATGGCTTTATATCATGTTTTATGACAGAATCACTGCATTGACAGCTTTCTCTTGACATCTTGTCTTTATCCATTTCAGCTTTGGCCACCATGTGTAATTTTAAAATAAAAAATGATTTAATCATGTAAATTTGTGTTATTTCAGTTGTCCTTTCAACATGGCATCTGTGCTCCACCAGTGGTACATGATGGAAGGTGTGGCTTTATTATAGCTGTCCATATGAAGTGGTTATATCAATAACAACCGACTTCAGTTGCTTATACATAGCATTTTACTGAATGCATAGTGTAACTTTAACCCTACCAGGATTTGTATTTGAACATCAAAAACATCTAACTTGAACAAATACTGCATTCAACATACCATGTGACACACAAAAATCAATATTTAGGGTTTCTTTTTTACTACTTACTTTTAAAGCAAGAAATTAACTAATGGATAATACTAAAATTAGAATTATAATCTACAATTTGATACCAAACTTACTGACATACAGTCATAAAATAATAATTCAATAAACCTTTGAATGAGTCAACAAACACGATGACATAGCCTTTGACCCGTGCCGATAGGGTTAATATGATGACCATTAATGTACAACATAATGTACTGCTCAGAGGTTTGTTGTTTAGTTGAACACTCAAGAACTTGAGGTAATATTTTCACCTTTAGTATTAGATCCAGTATATTTTATAATGTTTGTTGCAAATTCTTATTGCCTTAAGCATGTCTAATTTTCAGATGACTGTGAATTGCATATAAAGTAGAAGCTACCTTCTATTTGAAATGATTTCTAAACAATTTTGCACTTCACTTTAAAATCATCAGCTACTTCAAAGTAATGCAATAGATGATTCATTTTGGAATTTATATTATACTCTTTATGCCATTGATAGTATTCATTATCAACTAAGTCAATCTCATAGATCAGTATGTAAATAACAGATCTGAGCATGTCTTGCACAATGGCAATTGCTAACATATTACAACTTGTACATGTTAGAGGGCACACTAAAAGTTGACATTTAAAGCAGCAGTTGCAGACATTAGACAATACCAACCATAATACAAATGTTTGCTTGAAATTTCTGTATGATCTTTTATCAAAATATTGTTATTGCTTCTTGTTCAGTATAACATTTTCTTTTTCCAAAATCTCAAACTTATTCATACAGTCCATAATTTCAAATGCCTTGTGAAACTAATGAATGTATATTTGTTATACACATGTATGTTTATATAATTATTAAAATGCCTGCAGAAATTAGTACTTACAGATGAACGATATGATGGACCTCTTGCCCACTCCACCACCATGCTTTGGCCTCGCATTTCACGTCCATTCTCGTATCTAATCGCATCCTTCATAATAGAATTAAAGAAAACTTAGCCAATCAAAATTAACATGAGAAGATCTTATTAAACTAATTTTGCATAGTTGTTCCTTAAGCTAAAGATGTGAATATTAAGAATATCTAAAGAGGATTTGCAAAAGCCGTACTGAAAAAATAAAAACTACAACTTGCACAAATCTTACAAACAAAGACGCACAAGTGTAGCCCCTAAAGCACATTTGAAGCATGACTGTTATTCATTTAAATACCAAACTGTAACAAAACGTTTATATTGTTAAGCTTTATCATCAGGACGGGCCCAAATCAAGTTTAGCTGCACGCTTAAATGTCTTTTTTTAATTTGAATATTTTTACAAAATATTTTATAGTGAAAAAATGATTCAATATGAAAAAATTCACAAACATTTCTAATATTATAAACACAATTAGCTAATTTCTACTAAGATGCCAAACAAACTGTTGTCCAAACAAATCTGAACTTGAATATGGGCCTATAAAGACTGAAACAAGATTCATATCTTGCTTATTAGTACAAGTAATTATCAGTTTATATAGGAGATTTTCCAATCAAGCTAAATTTCTACATACATGTAATATAACACTAACTATAAAAAGCTTATTCCTTTCGTCACTCTGTTGAGAACACTTTCACACTCTTTTTTTGGTAATGCTCAATAATATACATTGTTGTTTAACAACAAAACTATCACCTGATTGTTCTTAGGCTAACTATGGTTTTGAATGTTCAATATTCATGGTGATTTGTTTTTATATTAATTATATTTTTTTATAACTTCACTGATATAACAGCAAATAGTTTAATTCAAAAGTTTTGTGACATTGAGTTGTAACCAAAAGCAAAATAAAATATACCATGTAGTGTTTCGGCTAAGCTTTATGCTACATTTATGTATTAGACCTAATGCTTAAATTACAGTACAAGTAGGCATACTATTACTAACATTAAAATATTTTAAGTGGTGAATAAATGTTAATTAATAAATATTCTTTTGGCATTTTAACACGTGTATTATCTACTCAGCCTTAAGATATAAAGAAAAATAAATACTGATTACTATCAAATATCTTTAATCATTTGTACAGTCAAAAGAGTTGAAAATTTGTGTTGGTGTTTAAAAAATATTAAGTGGTGAATAAATGTTAATTAATAAATATTCTTTTGGTATTATAACACATATATTATTTACTTGGCCTTAAGATATAAAGAAAAATAAACGTTTATTACTACCAAATATCTTTAATCCTTTGTACAGTCAAAAGAGTTAAAAATTTGTGTCGGAATGTCTGCACTACATTTTCTACTTCTTGAAACAGCTCAAGAATGCTATTTAAGTCTCTTTTAGAATGCACGTGTACTTTTGTTCATGATAACATTTCATTTTTCTTCATAGTTTTTCCTAGATTAAGAATTTCATTGAGACTGAAAGTCTAGATACAAGTCTTGGCAATATTGAATGAGACTCGAAAGGTGTAAATCTAAGCTACAAAATGCTTTATATTTAGTTTCATCAACTACATATTTCAAATATATTAAACTTTAATCTTTTAGTATAATTTTTATAGCTTAATTATCAAAAAAATCAGATTTAAAAGAATTGGATAAACAAATTGATGACTGATTCACCCTTTGAGTGAAAAGACTTAGTTGAATTCAAATAATTCTGAATACGAAAATACTTGTGTTACTTTAGGTACATAAGAATAAACTCATGGTGTAACAATTTCATTTGAATTTGGGATCTTAAGTTATGAAAATAAAATCATCAAATAAAGTAAAGCTAATTCTATCTGTATTACTCATGAATGAATGAAAACAGGTGATAAAGAATACTTGTTTAGTTGGTTATTCAACACTGGCCAAATATATAGACAAATTAAGTCAATCTTTAACATAATATCTTTTTTTCACACCATTCTCTTTTGGTACATTTAATGATGTTTTAAAAAAATTGCTATAAATCTGCACATTAATGTCTATTTTTTCATTAAAAAACACAAAAATGCATGTACAAATAGCACTTTTCTAACTTCAAAAACAACCAAAAAAAAATCTTAAAGAGAGTTGCAGACACCATGCAACTAAATATTATTACCAATCTCAAAATAGTAGATTATAGCATGTGCTCATCCTAAAGTAGGTAAAAATGGCAGATGTTTTTTTTATGTAGTCTTTACTCTTTAAGTTTCTCATACTCACCATTTCATGGTTTATATAACATTTCAATTCTTTTAAACTTTTCTTATACTCTGATGAAAACTTATTTTGTGATATTAAAATCTTTAAAGGAAGAAAAATTTGTTATTTTTTGCATCACTGAGAAAGGCGAACTAGACCAGATACATGTGTAATCATGTGATCACACAGGCTGTGCTACTGTTATAGGCATCTAGCTGGAAATTGGCATATAGTAAATAAGACATACATTTGTACGAGTTTCTGTAATTTGTAGTAACCTACAGTATAAAATATAATTCAATATGTATTTTAGATACTTACAGTATTAGCTATATTAATATACAACATTCAATTTCTTAAACAGTAATAATTACATTGGCCAAACATGGTATGTTTGAAGCTTTACATGCGACAATTTTGCTTCAGTGCTTGGTAATATCACTATGCACACCTAACCTCATCAGGTGTTCTTGGGTTAAAAGCCGAAAACTCCACTAGTAGCAAGGGTAACATACTGATGACCTAAGGCAGCATAGTCATAGAAGCTTTTTTTTTGTAGTTTGTCTGTCACTGACCAGCAGGCTTGTATCTGTATAAGGCTGAATGTTATGGTTATGTCACACGTAAAGTCAGCAGAGTTGCAAACAACTTGCAACTAAATACTATTACTGATTTCAAAATAATAAATTCAAGCATGAGACCTAAGGTACACAAAAATTACAAGTTATTTTTTAATTTTGTGAAGTTCATAAAAATTGGAATACTATGCATTCTAAGTGGGCTTACTTAAATGATGCATATAAATTTAAAGTACCACTACTATTACCTGACAAACCTCTTAAAACGTCAAGTTCCTCTTATTCCAACCTGGACAAACATTTTGGCCTAAAATCACTAAAAAATTAAAATAAGACACTGTGACATAAAAAGGTAAAAAGCAGGCTGGTAACATTTCTTTCAACTCAGCTTCAGTAGAAAAACTGCCCAATTTTCTTTTTTCTTTTGAACATCCTATTTTAACTGCATCAAAGTATACATTAGGATGTTTTATATTATGTAATTCCACACTTTAGCCTCCAATACCAGAAGACTATAGCAATTTACCCTCAAATTGCACCCAATACTCCTGATATTTAAGTAGCTTAAAACCAATGCAGTGCCAACTTGATAATTTTATGTGTAATAAATAGGTTCTATACCGCATGTAAAAAAAAAGAAGTAAAAATATGTTTTGTAATTTCATGTAAACTTTAGAGTCAACACAAAAATTTAGTTTATGTGAAAATACAGCTGGTTTAAAATTGCTCAATTGATTTTTTTTTCTATTTTTATAAGTAATTTTTTGTTTCTTATGACTCAGTATCTTTTATGTTTAAGATTGGGGTCTACAAAACTGAATCACATGAAAATGAAATGACCAACTATTAGATTCTCACGGACGAGTCGAGTACAACTTTTAAGAGACGAGGCCTCAATTTTCTAACTTCTAAGTAATCTAATTTTGTATGGGTATGATAAAAAAAAAAGCTGCATACTAATAAAATATTCTCAGAAGGAGTGAATTTTGCTTTAGAGCCCCAGCATTTAAAGAATACAGAGAGCACGGTACCACATACACAAGGCCAGTCAAATGAACAAATGTGGGATAAAAGCTGTGTCTGGTCTGGTGATGGCTTTCAACTTAGTGGCTTTATGCAAGTTCTAGCTATGATTCGGGTCAGAAGGGCTTTCATTTTCTTTTCAAACACAGTAGTCAAAACAGGATGGCATGGTCAATTTGGTAGACAAGGCTTAGTCATGACTCAATGGCTAAAGGCATGTCAGTCACTCTCTTGACTAGGAACACTGGTTCATGGCACTGCATGGTCAGGTGAATGCATCAGAAATGATTGGAGTCTGTCTGTCTTTCTCCTCTCCTTCTTTTGAACAGTATCAGAATAATCAAAACTAATTATTACATAAATTGAGAAATGTACATGTAAAGTTTTATGATTTTATTTTATATAAACTACAAGAAAAGTATGTACAGTTATGTAGTTGATTCACCACCAATTTAATTTTTAATAACCTGTACTAAATGTCAATAAATTTATTAAAGAACAAAGCCTTATCCAAACAAAAGCTAAATGTACATAAATATACAATAAAAGGCTATTAGTTCCAATTACATTTTCATTAAAAACTGTTAAGACATATAATATATAAATTATTTATGAATTTTTGTTTTTTGTGAGTTAAAGGCTATAAACCCTTTTCCAAATAAATTTATACTGCACAGAAACCTAAATATTGTTTGATTTTATTGGCATTTTAGACAGCATGTGTATATATACTGTAGGGGTTTGAATTTTCAATGGATTGCTTTTCAGATCTCCATGCTAAAACCTCTAGAAAAATAGCCGTACACACTGACCCACTCAAAAAACAAAGCTGGAGCATTAAGAGACAACAGAAGCAGTCTATTCCAACCTCACAATACTTGTTACATTTTCACTTTTGGGTTCAAAACATTTGAAATTTTTTTGAGAAGTTAGGTAAAGTAAGAATTCAAAACAACAAAAGTTGTAGCTAATTACGAGTGCTTAATTTACAACAGCATTTCTATAATAAGTATGAAGTAAAAAACTGACTTTGTTCAGTGCTTCTTCTCACAACTCTCTGTACTTGATATTTGCAAAAGTTAATAACGTACCAGTATTTTTAAATTTCTCTTGATACACATGCTCTGTAGTTAATAATTTCTTTAACTTCAGAAAATAATTTGTTCAATTAATAATGATAATAAAAAATGTGTATAGCAAAATACTTGGTGATTTACCTCAGCATCTCTACGATCATCATAGTCCACAAAAGCATACGCCATTCCAGTACCTATAAAAAAAATAAAGATTCTACAAATGACACAAAACCGAGACACTTTGATTACTTTTAATTTTTTTAATGATTAAACTGTTTATCACCGTGCACAAATTATATTATCTTAAATATTTTGCTAAAACACAAAATTTCTAGACTGGAGGATAAACTTTAGATGGATCAGATATGCAAAATAAACACAATGAAACTCCAACATAATTTCACCAATAAGTTTCAACAAGACATTTTGTGCTTTCTTTCTCTTCAAGAGCTATCTGCATCAAACATTCTTTAGTCGTCGGCATAGAGACTCCAAATTTTTTTTTCCCAAGTACAAACTTTTAGCTCATATCTTCATCTCTTGACCAATTTGAGACCTAATTACAGCTGTGGTTATTGAAAATTCTCTCCTTTTCTCCTTGAGAGAGACTAAAAAGCAAAAATTAAGTGTATAAAATAAAAACGTGATATAAAGAAATTTTTAAAAAGGTTAAAAAAGGCCTATATCCTGTAAAGAACTAAAAACATGGTCAATCTCTAGACAGTGTCATCATTGTCAATACCAGTATGATACTAAATACACATCAAAATTAAAATTTGTCTAATATGATACCATTGTTTGGATATTAGGTTATAAAGTAACGTGGGCAATTCTAAACATTCTCTTGAAAAAGTATGTAATAAAATTGTGGCTAATGCAGAGCCTTATGAGAACAAGTTATTCCTCCCAATTACAGTGAGAAAAACTAAATGGCCAATCAGGAATTATAAGTTTTATATAGAAAAGCTTTAGACTTTGTTCACCTCATATTGCTTGCCAACCGGCATGAAGCCTTTGTCTTGATGAGAGACTTGTAGTCCATATGTGGTAAAGGTGTTGACAGTGGAGGCTCATTAAGCTGTGGTGTCAGCAAGCTTGCTTGATGGATACATGGCCAGGAATCAAAAAAGATTGGATGAATAAACATGTTAGAGAAAAAAATGTGCCAATGAGTGACAGAGTTTAGGAAATACAGCACCTTCAAAGAGCTAAGCAAATCTAATGTACTTCTTAGCTTTGAGATAATCCTGGGCAAGTGAGAATGCAAACAATTCTACAATGAACATAGAATTTGTAGAAGTATTCCGTGAACACCTAAATAAATACAGCAAACTATGTCTAAACCCATAAATTTATCTGATTTAGTTGGTTGTTGTCGCCAAACAACCAATAAAAATGTAAAAGTAAAAATAAATCAAGTTAAAAACTAAACAAAGTCCAACATCAGGGGTAAACTAGTAGAAAAGACACGTCTAAAATGGTGCCGCCGCTCATGGTCGTAACGACAGCATGAAAGTAAGATGTGGGCTATTGTGACTTGAGTGTCATAAAGGCTACACATTGGTGGTTCAGTACCAGATAAAAGAAAATGATGAGTTGAAAAACTGTGACCAATGGGTAACCTAGCCAAGACAACTTCCTCCTTCGGATCCTTATGGAAACAAGACGGCCAAAGAGCAACAGAAGGTTCAAGTTGGAAAAGCTTGTTACGACACTGCTCACACCAAGTCGACTGGCAACTGGCGCGAAGCCGTGTCTTAAATACAAATATGGGACAGGCATGGCCATGACGGCACTAGAGCAAATGGACTTAGCTGTGGTGACCGCAACCTCATTTCTGCAAATACCAACATGGCCAGGTATCCAGAGAAACTGGATGGAAACAGAAGATAGAAAAAAATGGGCCAGTCATTGTTGAATATCGATGAGAACAGGGTGAGAATTAACATTAAGCAATTCCAGGGCCAGTAGAGAGCTAAGAGAATCAGTGTAAATAGTACAATTGCTGTACTGCAAAGCTTCTACATGATCCAGGGCAAGAGAAATGGCATACAACTCAGCAGTGAACACAGAAACTGTAAAGGGGATCCTGCGAGCAACTACAGAGCCACAGCAATCCATATCAGAGCCTACAGAGTCACCTGATTTTGAACCATTCGTGTAAACAGGAATAGAAGGATGGTTTGAAAGAGGGGAGTATCCAATCAGGAGTATTTGCCTTCCTCAGATGACTCAAGGAAAGGTCACATATAGGGATGGTAATAAGCAATGGTGGAATCAGCTGATCATTGGGGACAGCAATGTTATAAAATGCTAGACTGAATTCAGCCAGTTGAGCCTTGACATGGAGGCCAAAAGAAGGAATTGCAGACCATTTTCTGAAAGAGCAGGGCCCACTGAGGAAGAAAGGTGGGATGCTGTGGTAAGGATCAAAGCTTGGTAGCATACTGTAGAGAAAAGTGCAAATGGCAAAGGTGAAGAGGAGGTTTGTGGGATTCAGTGTACAAACTATGGACTGGAGAAGTGCGAAAAGCGTCCTTCCGAAGCCCCAAATGGTGAATGGGTTCCAGCATCTTCGAGACTGAGGTCCTGGCAGAAACATAGACCAGACACCCATAGTCCAGTTTGGATCAAATGAGGGTACACTGATCTGCTCTCCAAAAAGAGGAACAGAAGACACGGAGGATGTTTAGTGCCCTTGTACACTTGAGACATAGCTGCATTATGTGAGGAATGAAAGTAAACTTACGGTCAAAGATAAGACCCATGAACTTTGCATCAGGAAGAACAATATCACTGAGACAATGCTCAGGATTGGAGTGTAGGACCCACTGGTGGCAAAAATGCATGCAAGTGGTTTTGGAAAAAGAAAAGTTAAAACCATTTGCTGTGGTCCACTTCAACAAGCGATTGAGAGTAGTCTGAAGCTGCTATTCAATAAACCTCATGTTCGACGACCGACACAAGATGTGGAAGACATCAACATAGAGCCCATTTGCAACAGTTGGAGGAAGTTGTGTAGTGATAGCATTAATCTTGATACTGAAAAGTGTGACATCCAAGACAGCTCTGAGGAACTCCAAGTTCCTGTGTAAAATAACAGGAAAGAGTCAAACCCATGAGGACTTGGAATCTCCT